TGCAAAGCACAGTTTTGATGCCAGTGAGAAGCTTCTTTTGTCCCAGGCTTTCCCAGTCCCATCATCGCATTGCTGCCTGGCTTTGAAACTTTGCTGTATGAAAAGTCCCATTTGCTTTTCACCTGAGCCTAAATCCAAAACGCTGCCCATCTTTGGCCTCTAGGCGGCGCCAACCCTTTGGAAAACAAGGCTGTTTATGTAACAGATTGGCAGTTTGAATGGCTGTACAAATGTCATTCTTTAAAAATAAAGACGAAACTCTCGGTTAACTCAAACAGGAGCAAATTAAAAAGTAGAGTGAAGCATCTATTTCATGAACACAATTCATCCGCTGTCTGGTACTTCAAAATGATACCTTTTCTCCAAACGATAACTGCCACCCTCCCACTGGCTTTGGCAACGCACTGACAAAACAACAGATCAATTCACTCACTTCAGTGAAGGAGAAAAATCCAGTCAGTGAGGAGGGGCTTCATGTGACTCACACACCCGGAGACAGAATTCTTTCTATGCCACCAATTATATAAGCCAAGCCACTAAACCAGGACTGAGGTGTTGAATTTATCCCCCCAAATGTACTGAGGAAGTTTTGTATTGAGAGTCTCAATTGTTTTAAACGTAATTATTTTTCCTCATGAACTCACCAGAAGGGCCCTTGAAAAACCAATTTTCAACAGAGCTTTAAGGGTATGTCTACAACACACAAAGCCGTCTCATTTTGAGGGTTTTGTGTCCCTGGGTGCTAATGCAGAATCCCAACCTTAGCTTCAAAATGGAATCACTTGGGGAGCTTTAAAAAAATCCAAAGGCTCAGGTGCATACCCCAAACCAATTAAGTAGGGATCTCTGGAGGTGGGACCCAGGCAACAGTATTTTTTTTTAAAGCTCCTCAGGTGATAACATGAGGCCACCCTTTGGGTTCCTTTACTTTCTACTTGCAGCTCTTTGCCCCCTGGGGCTGGGCGCAGGGTCCAATCTTTAAGACTCACTCTGCTTTCCCCCAGTTTCTCTTGCTCCTTAGGGCTGACCCAAACTTTATGTAGACTGTTCTCTGTGAAAAAGTCACATGTTCTCAAGATTCTGCTTGGACCTACCTGAAATGTGGTGGCCACTGGTGGCCACATCTCGACCTCAAGTTTGGGACACGACACAGTTATGGACTGGTGGATATGAACAGTTAAGTACCTCGTAAATTGTGTAGGATGGTGGCTTCCCAAATAACAGTCCTAAGACTAATTCTTATCCTGAATAAAAATATCCCAGGGAGCTCATTTAAGAACAAATTTGGACTCAACTCCAGAAAGTCCCATTCCGTGGGTCTAGAGAAAGTCCTGACAGCTACATTTTAACAAGATAAGCTTGAGGGGAAACTGATCTAGTTCAACACCTCCAACATGTAGCAGTCACAGAATCTCAAGGGGATATGAGTTGTTCAAGGACACTTGGCTAGTCAGGAGAAGAGGTAGGATTAGAATCAGGTGTCCTGATTCCTATGAAAAGAAGTCATGCTGTGGACAAATACAATTTTTGCATTTCAAAATTTTAAAAAAAACCACATAGCCAGTAAATTTTCTGGAAAGTTGATCTGGGTTCTAGCCTCTGTGTGGCCACACATTAGAAGTTTGGGAAAAATATTTGTTTCTCTCTGAGCCCCACTTTCTTCATTTTTCAAATGGGGTAATGCTTGTCTCATAGGGTTTTGTGGGGATTAAATGATACAACATATGTAAAGGATTGGTAGTAGAACCCAGAACTGAGTAAATACAACTGGTTGTTGCCATTCTATTATTAGGATGATAATTTATGTTAATGAGAATTTGTCTAGTTTTGTGATATGGTAGAAAGAAAGTCAGAATGATGGCCCAAAGGGATGCACCATATTCTTTTTTTTTTTTTTTTTTTTTTTTTTTTTTTTTTTTGAGACAGAACCTCACTGTGTTGCCTGAGCTAGAGTGCTGTGGTATCAGCCTAGCTCACAGCAACCTCAAACTTCTGGGCTCAAGTGATCCTACTGCCTCAGCCTCCCGAATAGCTGGGACCACAGGCATGTGCCACCATGCCCGGCTAATTTTTTTGTATATATATTTTTAGTTGGCCAATTAAATTCTTTCTATTTTTAGTAGAGACGGAGTCTCCCTCTTGCTCAGGTTGGTTTCAAACTCCTGACCCTGAGCGATCCTCCCACCTTGGCCTCCCAGAGTGCTAGGATTACAGGATTACACCACGCCCGGCCAGCCATATTCTTTTAGCTTAGTGACACTAGACACCCGCATCCAACTCAGCATGCCAGGAACAAAGACCTGCTGAGGTCTTTTTTGCTAGATATATTTTTCTGAGTGCAAAGTAAATACACATTATTGTAGAGAACACTAGAAATGTTCATAGAGTCATTGAAAAATATCACCTTCAGTCTTTTAAGTCAAAAGTATGGTAATACTGTCCAAAGGGTTTTGTGTCTTTATTTTCAAACTAATGTTATGTTATGAGCACTTCACTATGTCATTCGTTTTTTGATTATGTCATTTTAATAGCTGCATAATATCCATTCCTAAGGCTGTATTTAGTTAGCTATTTTCTGACTGTTAGACATTTATATTATTTCCAGTTTTGTTATAATAATTAACACTTTGATAAACGTCTTTGTAGATAAATCGTTTTCTGAGTTTCTGATTATTTCCTTAGGATTGAGTCCTAAGAATTTTTGGGTTAAATAATTTGTACTTTTAAAGATTCTTGCTATGGGTTGCCAAATTAACTTTCTGGAAAAGTTGTACCAATTTGTCCACTAGAAGCCAATGACACTACCATCTTCGAGTATTTTATTTTTCTAATTTCATAGGTTAAAAAGTAGCATCTCATCTTAGTTCATTTAAAAACATTTACTAATAGCATTTGATTTTTATATAGTTATTAGTCATTTATATTTAGTCCCCTGGGAATTGTCCATTCGGTTGGCCTATTTTTCTTTTGGAATTTAGCGAGTTAGTGTTTTCCTTTTCAGATTGAACAGGTCTATCATACATAATTGACAGATAATTTTGTAGACCTCTCTTCATAGATCCTTTTAACCAACCTATGATGCAAGTAGTATGCATGCACATGCCTACTATCAAAAAGGCTTGCTCACTAAAGAAAATAATATACAAACTGTGTAGGACTTGGGACATTAGCTCCTGAGCAGGTAACACCCCATGTGTCCCATAAGTGGCTTGGTGTAATGGCAGGGTTTGGAATTATATGAACCTGGGTCTAAATCCTGGTTTTGTCATTTATGAGTCTTGTGGTCTTGGTTTTGTTATTTAATCTTTCTGAGACTTATTTTCCCTTTCCATAAAATGGAAATTATATATCTAATTTGCAGGGATTGTGTGAGGATTCTAAGAAATGGGGCTTATATAAACATCCTGACACATGTATCAGTGCCCTCAGGGTCAGGCACGAGAAGCTGAGGCAGTGATACCAAGGTATTGAGGGCCCTGGCCCAGAACTGGCACCCAGAGTGTTGGTGGCCTGATTCCGCACTGGGGGTTAGTGGACAGCAGAGGCCTTGGCCACAGAGATCTCTGAAAGGATCCAGAACCAAAGAGGAGCAAAGCTGCCGATCCTACATGATAGTTGAAGGGACTTCTTTGGAACCCACTTGACATACTCTTTGGAGACTCCCCAAATTAGGGCAGAGAAAGGATTCTGCAGTGGACTATAGCAAGAGAAATACTGCTTTCTATTGTGATTGTGACGCCATTTTAACACCCTGCAATGTGGCTTATAGGTAACCGATGGGGAAATGGAGACCCAGAGAGGTGCGGCAACTTACTCAAGATCACACAGCCCATCGTCTCCAGGCTTGGGTCTCCTCACTGTCTGCTCTCTGCTCTTCCTTCCCCATTGCCCATCACCAAGTAAGTTTCTCCAAGTCGGCAAATTTTTACCTTAGGTGGTCACAGATCTGTATTAACTACTTGAATGTCTGGAACTGGATACAAACTCTGAGGCTGGGATGAGGGAAGGATCACCTTGTCCTCTTAAATCTGGTTTCGTTGAGGAGGGGATCCTAGGGCACTTCAGAGAAGGACAAGGGACCCAGGGCAGACCCAGTGGGTTCTGAGACTTCTTGGAGGGGTTGGATCCTTCTAAGACAGGTCTAAATTGCTTTTGATGTTTCGAGTTTAAACTAAACCCTAAGTGATGTTGAAAGTGCCCCTGTGTAACCCGGGGCTATCTAGGGTCCTGCAGGTGAGACGCCAGGCATAAGCTAGGTTAACATCACCCCCGGGGCTGGTGGGGCAGGAATGGACACCAGAGCCAGCGAATTTCCCTCTCTGTTTTCCACACTTGAAGGCTTTGTCTACACAGGAAAGCACATGGAGCAGAGGTGACATTTCAGATTTGAGCAGAAAAGCTTTCTAAGTGGCATTGCTGGATATTTTTATTTGCTGAATCTGGCAACCCCTGAGCCACTGAGGATTTACTTTAACTGAACTGTTTGGTTTAGCTTTCTGCAATTAACTGATCAATTTCACAGGTTAATTGGCTCAGGGCTTCATTTCACTTTGTGGTATAGACTTTGATCATCACCAGCGGTATTTCTTACGCTTCTAATTTGTTTCAATTATGGCACTAAGATGTTCAGTAAAAATGGGTGGAAAAGGTTTCTCTGCAGAGAACTGTTCTCATTTTAGTTGTGGGTTGAATGGGGCGGGCATGGCTGCTCATGGCTGGCCACGCTTTTGTAGGTCAGGAGTAGAAAAGGGCCGTGGGCAACCCCCCTCGTGCAAGGGGCCTTCTGTAGTGTCTTTGTGCGTAAGAATGAGTGCTGCCTCTTGTGCAGGCGGCGGTGTGGATTCAGGGAGTGAGAGAGTAAAAGGAGAGGGCGGGCGAGGCGGTGTGGGACAGCAGCTGCCCAGGCCGGTCGCTCACTGGGCCTGCTTGGGCTGTTTGGTGTTCACCTAGGAAACCTGTTGCCAGGAGGACAACAATAACTTCCCCATGACAACCCCAGAGCAAGGTCCCTGGCATTGCAGACAGGGCCTGAAAAGTCTGCCCTAGAGTGGGCTGGCTACTTCACTGAGCGTGCATTTGCACTGCCATCATTTGAGGAAGGGACAGAGGGCACTCACCAGCTTCCTAGCCTCTCCAGCCACCAGCTCCTTGGCGACCCACCTGTTCTGTCCACCCACATACCCTGGAGCTTCCAGCTTTTACTGTTGCTGGTTTGGAGAGGTGCCGTGCTTTCTTTTTAACTTATAGAAAGACTGAGTGTTAAATGCAGAAAGCTCCTTGAGAAAAAGATTTAGAACCTGCCTGCAACTTACCCCATCAGATGATCTTTCATTTGTCGCCTTGACTCAGTTTCTCCACCTGTAAAAGAATCAATTTCTATTTCCCAAATTTGGGTGAACTTATACGAGATCACCATGCCCAGTCACACTCGCTATAACTGTTTATAGAGACTTAACTGTGTATAGAGATTTAAATATAAACCCCCTGAATTATGAGACTAGTATGTTGTCTGGCTCACGAAGAGGTCCCTTTCGTTTTGAAGGGCTTAACAGGAACCCTCGTCCTTTGTTCTCCCTGCAGAGGCAGTCAGAGCAGACATGGCGGCAGCAATCCAGGTAGGATTTGGGGAATCCAAGAAATTTCCTAAGTAAAATGGTTTTCCCTGGCATTGCCTGAAATTCTACCTTTGTGTAAAGCATTATTTGGAGGTTTCTAATAATACAATTTCTCTTGGAGGGGTATTTCCAATCAGGTGTAACATCTGGACGTGACGGGGAATGAAAACAGATGAAACAGGAAGATTTCCCTTCTCGGTGCTTCACAATTATGTCTGGAGCAGCCCTTCTCAGAGTTCTGTGGGAAGCTAACGTGTTATTTGAAAAAAGAGTCTCATAGGCAGGTATGTTAGGGAAATGTTGAGTTAAATCAAGTTGAACAGGTCTGTCTTCTGGACTGTTGTTCAATGGATCCAAATTCGGGAAACATGTTGAAAGGTCATTGAGCAAAATCTTGAGTCGCTCTTAACTGCTCAGAAGATTCTAGAAATTACTCCCTGTCTTTTAAGATATTTGCTAATTCTTAAGCAAATTAAAGTTATTTTTTTTTTAAAAAAAATGCTTAGTTTCTTTTCTTTTCTTTTTTATTTTCAGATATAGGGTCTAGCTATATTGCCCAGGCTGGTCTCAAACTCCTTGGCTCAAGCCATCCTCCCACCCCAGCTTCCCAAGTAGTTGGGACTACAGGTACACACTGAGGCTTAGATTGTTAATTTGTAAAATTGGAATAATAATACCTGTCTCATAAGATTGTTCTGAAGATTGAAGGAGATGGTTTAGATAAAGCAGCTATCACAGAATACACAGTCAATGTTACAAAAATTAAGGAGCTGAAATCATTAACATTGAACCAAGAGTCTCTTGGCAGTCACAATGATAAAGACTGAAAACCAAAAATAATATACTGCCCATCTCACAAATATTGATACCACCCTGTGTAAGGTTCAGAATACATAGTGTCTAGCACCTACTAGACATTTTGGCACATTTACTGAATGGCTGTATACATAGATGAACCCCCAAGTCTACACTTGTACCGAATTTGCCCATATGGATAGGGAGCACATGAGGCTGAGTCCTGCATTAGCTACAATGGCTCAAAGGTTAGAGAACTTTCTTTCCATCTCATTTAACAGTCCAGAGGTGGGTCAGCAGTCTAGGGTGTGCATACTGCTCTCTGCCCCAAGAAGTCCTCCAGAGACCCAGGTGGGCTGGTCTACCCTGCTGTCCTCATCATGGGTTTCTATCTCTGGGTGCCAGGCTGCTACAGATTTCACTGTTTCTAGCCTGCAAGACAAGGGAAGGAGGAAGGCAAGAGTAAATGGCTTTGTTAAAAGGATTCTATGAACCAGAACTTAGTCACATGACTACAGTCAGCTGCAGGGATGTTAGTCTCTAGGTGGGTAGCTGTGTGCTCAGCTAAAACTTGGGGGGCTTATATCACTAAGAGAAGGAAGGTGATAGTGGATAATGAAGGCTAATTAACAGTCTTTACCTTGGAAACCTGGCCCAATTCTACACCCAGATCTGGGAAGGAAAGGTACTGTCAGTGAACATTGACCATTAGGGTCAGGGTGCTGATCCTACAGTGTTGGGTTGAGGTACTGTGTTTTATTTTGGGATTCCTACTTCAAGAGGTTTACATAAGCTGGAGTGGACTTTCAGGGCACTTCAACCAGGATAGTAAGGGAAGGGATGAAAATCCAAAGCATATGGGAAATCCTTGGAGGAATTAAGAATATTTAACCAGGAAAAGAGAAGATTTAGAGATAAGAAGATATCTGTCTTTAAGTACATAAGGATTCTCGAGTTGAAGAAGGACCAAGATTATTCTGTGTGGCTTCAGGAGATAAAGACAGAGGCTTGTGCTTTGGTCTCCCAGGTGCCCTTCCACCTCCACCCCTGTACCACGTGACAGCTCAGCCACTGTGAATTTCTTTTGCTCCTGTAATCAATCACATTTTCCCTCACTTCTGGGCCCTTGTCCATGTGCTCCCTATGTCTGGAGCACTCCCAGGTCCTCTCTTCCCACCCAGGTCTTCATCTGACTATTTCCTGCTCATCCTTCAGGTCTTACCTTAGACATTCTAACCTCTGGGAAACTTTGCCTGACACCCAAGCGTGTGACCAGTGCCTGTTTCCCGCATTTCCAGGGTGCTCCACACCTCCTCATTGTCATGCACCACACTCTATCATAAGGGGGTGGGATTTGCCCCATTTACCACTGACCCCTCTCACCCAAGTACAGGCTTGGAGATTTCCCTGCAACTCCATCATTTCTCTGGTTGTCAAGATCCCCACCCTTTGATTCAGGGACTAATGAATGTCTTGAGCTCCTGAAATGGGACAGGAAGGGAAGTTTGGTGATGGTAGTTTGGATGGAATAGTGGGTTGAATAATGTCCCCCCAAAATTCATGTGCACCTGGAACCTTAGACTGTGATCTTATTTGCAAAGATGGTCTTTATAGATGTAAGCAGTTAAGATGAGCTCATACTGGATGAAGTGGGCCCTAAAACCAATGATTGATGTCTTTACAAGCAAAGGAAAGGACACAGAGAGACGCATACAGAGAAGAGGGCCTGTGAAGATAGAGACAGAGATTAGCATTATGTTGTCACAAGCCAAGGATGCCTGTGGCTCCCAGAAGCTGGAAGGACAAAGAAGGATTCATCTCTAGAGCTTTTAGAGGGAGCATGGCCCTGGTGACACCTTGACTTCAGACTTACAGCTTCCAAAATTGTAACAGAATGAATTTCTGTTGTTTTGTCTTCCAGTTTATGCTAATTTGTTACGGTAGCCTTAGGAAACTAATGCAGATGGCTCAAGGCAAGGTGGTTCTCTTTGCTGCTGGGCAGTCTTCAGGTGACATGCATGTAGCCACCACTAGAGAGTCCTAACCATACAGCAACGGGAAGAAGAGTTAACGTGGTCCTGCAGCACGGGTGACAAGCAGCACTTGCCCGAATGGCAACAGGTGATCCGCAGGCAGCCCCTCGGCTTCCTCCTGGTCCCCTGGTGCTTGTAGTAGATGATTCTGAAAAGTCTCTCAGCACCGATGCCACGTTTTCCAAGTTATGCCCTGAGTCCAGTCCCTCTTCCCAGCAAGCTCCCGCCTCCTCCCAGTTAGCACCTCCCACTTCATTCTTGCCTCGCCTACTTGCCTAGCTGAAGGTCATTTACTTTCCCTGATCTTTTTCTTTTCCATCCTAAACTCTGAGATGATGGTTTTCAAAGTATGGGCCGTGGACCAACAGTATCAGCGACATCTGGGAAGGTTTTAACAGTGCCACAAACTACTCAGGGCCTGTGCCAGGCACACTGAAGCAGAAACTGCAGGTGGGTACCTGCGACCTGCGTTTTAACTGCCTCCCTCCCTGCGGGGAGAGTCTAATGTGCACCAAAGTTTGAGGACCATTTGTCTACACCTTGCTGTCATGACGGCCCTGCTTCTTGATTTTTCTTCTGTTCTTTTGGCAAAATCCAGACATCACAGATCAAAAAGGATTTGGCTTTCAAAAATTATTATTTCTGATGTAGGTTTCAATTGTGGGTTGGATATCACAAAAGTAAGTTTTAACCATTTCTGTATATTTGCATTTATGCTAGGAAAAAAAATGTTAACTTTTATCAAGGATATGTACAAACCTCCAGCTGACTTGGGGAAGGATCAGGCTCAAGGCCGTATGGAAAAGAAAAGCCCAAAGATTAATTAAAATTAACTGATACTCTAAAATAAATATAGTGTCTCACTGCATTCACTTATTTATCTGTTATCTCCCTCTATACTATAAGCTCTTTGAGGGCAGGGATTGTTTCAGTTAGATTCACCATTGTTTTACTAGCACCAGATGCAGGTCGGGTCACTTATTAAATAAATGAAAGTATTAGTGGGCTATAAAGATTGTGAGTTCCCCCGTCACCAGAGGTGTTCAAGCACAGGCTAGGAGCTACTGGCGGGGATACTGCAGAAGAAGTTCACGTATCAGATGGGTGGTCAGACTCAAATGAATTTCCAAGGTCCCTCCCACCCCAGAATGCTGTCATTCTTTGTGACAGGGCCCTGCAGAGACAGAGGGTGAGGTTGTGCTGTGCTTGGCAGAGCGTCTAGCACATGCGTGTTGATAGATGCTTTCTAGCCCACTGACTTCTTCAGGGAGGGTGAGGTCGGTGGGGTTAGGGTGACTCCCCAGGCATAACGCTTTCCATCCAAGTTCTAGGACGAATGGTGAGAATTGTTTGAAAAACCCATTGGGAAACATCGTAGCGTTCAGAGGTATCTTTTTTCTGTCATCAACATTTGTAAATTTGGAGAATTACCCAGACTTCAAAAATAAACATTGGTTATCAGAAACAAGCTGGAAAAAAAAAAAAACAAAAACAACTGAGAGTCTCAGGGGGAGAAGAATGGCAGTGCACACACACGCTTGCAAAGGCGCCCTGGCTAGCTCCATACAGATCTGGGGTCATGGACTCATAGAAGAGTTATTGCTGGAGGAGGCCTCAGAGAGCTTTTGGTTCAAGGAAACTGAGGCCCACAGAGGTGGAAAACTTCTCGACCCCACACAGCCGCCCAAGTAGGCGATATACTAGTGGAATGAAAAAGGTTCAAGCCATTTCTTTGTGTGAAAACTATAGCCTGGCAAGCAAGCGAGATTCGAGAGAATCTTATTCATCTTCACGAGCCTTTTGTAACAGGTGCTGTTGGTGCCTTGCTCATGTCCCCTGACGGTCACCTCACGAGCTGCGGTCGCTGGAGTTTATAAGCAGCAGGCAGGAAACTGCAACCTGTCAACCTGCTGTCTTCGGCCTGGGAGCTGTGAGTGTCAGACTCTTGTTCCAACAGAGTAACGCCAGCGAACGTGTAGTGGATGCTTACCACGCGCCAGGCACTGATCTAAGTGCCGCATGTGCCTTAACGCTTTCAATCCTTGCAACACCTTGTGTGATAGAGATGGTTATTATTATCCCCATTTTACAGAGGAGAAAACTGAGGCACAGAAAACTTAACAAAGTCATCCAAAATCATAAGCCATAAACAGGCAGAGCAGGGTTCCAACCCATGCTGTCCGGTTTCAGGAAGACTTCCTGTTTGGATTCAGGAGTCAGGAGCATCACCTTTCTTGGGGCCCAGGGCTTGGCTCCTCTAGGTTTCCCCTTCACAGGGGTGGGGGGGCTGGTCTGTCAGTGCACCACAGTTTGGGCAGAGTCATGGTCTGCCTGCTCACACCAGTGAGAAGATGAGAGGCAAAGTGGAGGGTTTAGGCTCCATCTGTTCCTCCCAGTGCTCCCTGTTTTGCTGTGACTCTCTGAGGCATGAGCACCTCTACCTGCTGCTAGTTAGTGTAGAATGGCTTCTGGCTTTATTGAACTGGAACATCAGGTGGACTTGTGGCCAAGGCATTCTGTAGGGGCCACGGCATAACCCAGGCTGCCTTGGAGTCCCTGGGGGGACCCCCGGAGAGGTCTTTGTTCTCTTGCTCCTGCCCTCGTGTGCTGCAAGGGGTGAGTCAGCCTCGGGTCTTGGGGCGGATTCTAATGGGACACGACCTACTGGCACTAAGTCCCTGGAGTAGCAACATCCAA